CATCACTAAGGTATTGTGACCAAAGGGTTTGTTATTTCCTAGTTTGTTTTCTCTTTGACTTTCTACTATTTATAACTTTCGATAATCGTGATCGTAGAAAGTTGTTTTCTGAGACCATGTAGAACTTAGTGGAGAAGAAACTATAGGTGAAATGACGACTTGATTTGAAAAAAAATAAAAAAATATGTGGTGAGAACTCTAGCTGTATAGAAAAAGATGGCAACGAAATATCCAAATAATAAACTTAATAAAGGAACGACAGGATCATTGAGAAGAATATACCTGAATAATAGAGACCTATTAATCAAAACACAGATAAATACACTAAGAAATAAAAAGAAACCAAGCAAAAGAATTAAGACAAGAAAACTGAGATATATACTGTTCCAAATATAATGAACATACAGACCTATAACTATTCTGAACACAATACTTAATTATCAAAATAAGCTAGTATACACAAACTCACAAAAGGCAGAACTTTCAAAGAACAATTAAATAAACATCGATGTTTTTTATCCAAATAAATAAAATAACTTGGCTAATATAATAATTTGAATTATAACGTATTTGATAATTCTAATTTTATTAAAATACATTGAAACGAAAGTAAATTTTGAATGTAACTGAAATTCTATGGAACCTTGCTGTATTTGCTAATTTCAACTTCAAAATAGAGACTTATTCTTCTCTGTTCATACATAGCTGGAGACTCTGTCAATAGTTATTAAGTCAAGCTGGAAAGCCAGTCCGTCTGTACTAAGGCACATGTACAACCCATTTGCTGCAATATATAACGTAGCTGCATGTACAAGCTCCTATTGTACCTTGCATATAACGTCATCGTGTAATTACTAAGTCTTCCAGTCTATCTGTCATCATAAAAGTAAGTTGAAAAACTCCACGATCAGTTGTTTTATCCTGAAATTATGCGACATTTTATCAGTTGAATTGTATTTGTGTTTTGTCAACAGTTTTAATGGCAATGTATAATTTTTTTTTAACATCTAAGGTGTTTTTCATAATCTAAGGTTTTCATAATCCTTTCCGAGAAAGTGTTTGAGACTTTCCAGTTGTTTCTGGAACTTATAATTTATTTATTAAAGTTTTGTTTTTGTAGATTTATATTGTAAAACGAAACATTTTAAACTTTATTTTATGAAATCCGTTTTTATTTGATGAATGATGTATCTTACAAGTCTTATATTATTTAATGTTAAGTAAGATGTTGTAATCAAGTTAACTACTTTAAGAGGTGAGCATTAGATATTCACAAACAGTATTTGATATTGAAACGTACGTACAAACAGAAACCACTTAAAGTTCCCTGTCTCTTCTCATATAAAATGTCATTCATAAACATTTCTTGACCACCACTCTACATGAAACAACTCGGAACTTTAATATTCAATCAACCATGGCTTTCAATCTTAATTCTACTGTAATATTTAAAATATTAATTTTTTTGTCAAAAACATTGGTTAGTTGTTTGTTTGGGAGCAAAGCCACATTGTATTATGTGATTTGTCCTGAATTGTAAGTCCATAAACTTACCAATGTCCTGCTGGGGAACGTCAAAAGGATCATATGAAATTCCTTATATTTATTATCCTGTTTAATAAATCATACTTAAAGATTAATGTTAAAAACATTCTTCAGGAAAGGAAGATAATTAGTGTTTTGTTAGTATGTGTCGTTACGGAAATATACTCTCTAATGACGCGTTTTCCCCACGTCATATTTTTAGACGATAAATGTATTTCAATAATTTACAGCCGAAAATGTCCTTAATATCTAGAGTTCCTAACTTATAATTCAAAGTAAAATGATCATTATAAGTGTTCTATTCTTGTTTCTTACTTTACGACAATAAGTACTTTTAGTTTCTAGTTGTCATCTACGTAGTTCGCTTTATTCGATCATAAGTTATTTATTATTGTTAAAGTGTTGTAAAATAGGTATTTATTTTACTGATGTGTTCTGTTTACAAATGTGGATATGCTTCAGTTTTATCTTAAGCCATATCTTTGTTTTACTGTCTATTGTAGAATGACACCTAGGTGTAAAATGTGCTTTATCTTTGTTTTGTTTAAGGTTGTGTGCTACTTAATACATTAATACATATTGAGAAATGTATACGTTTTTCACCAGTTTGTAAAACAAAAGTACCATTTTTCGTTAAGTGACTGTTCAAAAAACTTTACAACATCCTAAAGCTGTTGCATTATTGAATATGTAAACGTACTTTATGCTGGTGACCCTAGTTTCAAAACTTTGTGAACACAACTTTCGACCCATATGAGATCCAATAAAGGTATTTTTATTTATAAATGGAGATCTTCAGTCTTAGAAACAAGTTATTTTAAGGATATGTAGCTCAAGTTTGGACTAGGTCAGCTGTTTTTCGTAGCTGGAATATATTACTCAGTTATATTATAATAATACTAAAGGGTTACCATACACAGCCTTGATCTGTGTATAAAAGTTAGATATTTCTATTATTTTGTTTCTCTATTTCACCTTTCTCTTGGTTTTAGTATAGGTACTGATAATACATTTCATGTAATAATCTTGATTTTAAATAAATGCAACCTTTATTCTAAAGCAGAGAAGTTTGCCACTATAGCATAAAATCATTACCTTTGAACACAATCTTAACCTGTTTTCAATGACACGTTGCTTTTATATTGTATATGTTTCGTATCTGCAAAATGTTTCTATGTTATACATGACATTCTCAATTTAAAATGATAAATAAATATTTAGGACATCGCGACATCTGGTCAACTTGGATGTGACAACCTATATGCAGACACTGAATAGGAATCTTCAAATGTTAACTGAATAAAGATATATTTCATACTAGTTCTAGAAGATGTATAAAATAGTAGGTACATGAGCTATGAAATATCAACTTGCATCATAAATATTGTAGTTTGGATGACCAAAACTTCTGAGAATGAAGATGCTTAGCTGAAAAATAGGAGTTGTATAAAAATATCATTATCTATTTCCTGATTACTGGGACTATTCTATTGATGTCTGGTACGATTCTCTGTGGGAAGTACTGACGATGCTTGATTGAAGTAAAGTATAGTTTCAACTAAAAGTAGCAATTTAATTCAAAATATAATTAATAAAAAATGAAGTCGTCTATAATTGTCTAGTGTCTAGTTGTTGATAAGAATATCGAGAAGCTGACCAGTTCGAAATAAGACTCACATGTTTCTATTACTTACTTAATTAATTAATATTTTTGTCAAAGAGAACACTTGTCCAGTTTAACTTAATCAAACTCTTCTTACAATGTGTTTTATCTCTAAATTTGCGAACATAGTACTTGATTTATTGTCTTCATTCATACCCGAGAATACTACATTTATTCAACAGCCATAAAACAGTTTAAACAATGTTCAGTTTGAATTTTATAAACCTAAAACACTCTATTAAACCCACTTCTAATTGAGTTACAAAACTAATGAAGGTATTCTGTTAATAGAGAAATACTGGACGGCTTGGAAGAGTAAAGTAAATAAATAACGTTTACCTCATTTACTCACCATTAATAACCTAAAATATCTTAGGTGTTTAGTTATCCAAACGTCTTAAGTATTTTATGTTATTAGTGGTGAGTAAATGACTATACATTTAAACTAAACAAATGATAATATAGTGAGATATTGTTACGTTTCTATTTTGTTGATGCTATTTAAATTCAGAGATACACACTAAGCTATCTGCACTCTATTTACCTCGTGGGATTGAACCATAGTATTTGTTCAGACATATACGCTGATTGGCTGCCTCAGAGGTAGGGGAAAAGGTAGAGACGATGACGTCATTGTACCATGCACCAGCGTCGATTGTATCATAGATCAACAAAGTGGAACCAGTGAGCACATTGCTAGGGGCAAGCTGCTAATGTATATGGCTAGGAGTCATATTTCCAGAAGTGGAACAAGAGGGAACTATGGTATGATGAGCATTCAGATATATCGCGGGTGAACCACTAATGGGTGATGTAGATCAACAGGCCATCAACTTTATAGTAAGAATAAAAGTCTTAAAATGAATAATTTAATTTAATTTGCATAATGTTGTGTTTATTAAAATAGAAGATTTAATATTTTGCTGATAAAGGGAAACTGTAATTCTGATATAAAAAACTTTTCAGTACTGACAGTTGTGAATGTGTTCATGCCATTCCTGTCCTAAGGTCTTACAAGACTTCTTTTGACCTTGATGTGTTAACCTAATCAAAACAAGATCATCTCGAGCAGTAGTTTTTCGGCGTCTGCTAGTAGACTTTTGTGGAACAACGTTTCCTGTAGTCTGATGACGTTTCAGGATTCTGGGTACAGTTCACTGGGGGTACCCTACTGTTCTAGCAATGCCCGTTTGCTTCATAGCATTTCTGGACAGTCGAACAAATTTATACCCTATAACTTCTGACACGTGATGAGGCATGACTCTACACCAATTCTGTACAAATCATTAATCTGTTTAGAAAAAAATGTATACCAAAAGCTCACCATTTTATACAAAACACGTGTGTATGTGTGTGTTTTGGTAAACAAATGCTCAAAACAATTTATACAGACCAGCATGCCCGATATGGCCAGGTGGTTAGGGTGCTCGACTCGCAATCTGAGGGTCGCGGGTTCGAATCCCTGTCACACCAAACATGCTCGCCCTTTCAGCCGTGGGGCGTTATAATGTGACGGTCAATCTCACTATTTATTAGTAAAAAAGTAGCCCAAGAGTGGGTGGTGATGACTAGCTGCCTTCCCTCTAGTCTTACACTGCTAAATTAGGGACGGCTAGCGCAGGTAGCCCACATGTAGCTTTGCTCGAAATTCAAAACAAACAAACAATATCTGAAGATTTCGTGAACAAGTTTTTATTTAGTGTGTGCTATTTGTTAGTTCTGTGTTTTATTTCCTGATTGATTGTTACCAACCAATATTCCACCAGTTTTAATACTCCTGTATCTTATTTAATTTCTGAAGACGTCCATGTGTGGTCAAGTAAAGTAAGAAAGAAGAAATTTGTTGAATATAGATTTAAGGAAAACAAAAAAGGAAGAATATTATCGAGCTATCAAATACATGTTCAAATATTTTATTGGCCCTTAATTTACAATGAAAATATTTCGTTGAAAAACAGAGAAGAAATAGTATGAAATATCAGATGTTTTAGTTTCTAAAATTCATAGGTAAATCACACATAAAGCAACTGACATTAATTATATTAACTACCGTTACCAGAGACACCATTTATCATACTAATTTATAGAATACTTCTACTAATACGTTTTCCACCAACAAAACAGTAGCTCTTAGCAACATGCAGAACATAGCAATATTTTCAATATTCATAAGTTGGTCTCAACAATATATGAAATCAAAATCATATTATATATTATAGAATAAATAAAATAAGTTATTAAAACCAATGGCTTTATTCTCCCAGACATTCTTCGTACTGTTGTATTTTAGTCCTTTTCAATTAATGATTGTTCCTCACTTGAATCAGTTGCTTTTTGAAACGTGAAATTGCTAGGGTTCTCCTTACAGTTTACTGATTGGTTTATATCTTCGGGCTTAGTATTTCTTTCGTAGAATGAGTTCGACGATGAAATAAGAATAGCCACGATGATAAGCACAGCCCCAACAATACTTTCGACTCGAATGGAAAAGGCCCGAGTAAGAAGTTGAAAGATATAACCAAATACAACGATAGAACAAAGAGCTACACTACCTGGACCAGCATCAACTAGTTGAAATCCTCGTGTGCAAGCTAGAACAGTCAACAAACCAGCCAATCCTATAGCAGAGATGTACAAATTGGTCCAGGAACAATCAGCATACCCTAACACGGGGAGACGTTTATCGCTTATTAAACATATAACCCACAAGATAATCGTATTTATGCTTAAACACGTTGTAATGAACATATAATTAACGTTACTTAAAAGATTATTAAAATTGATAGACAACGAATCCAGAATAGAGGCAGCTATAACTGCGACAATTCCTTTGTAATTCAAGCAAAGATGTTTATCTGATGCAAATAAAAAACTTGGTTGAGAAATAATGACCACTCCAAAAATACAAAGCAAGCTGGAAACAAAGTTTGGCCACTTACACGAACGTTTGAATATGAAAACGGAAAAGACATTGGAAAAAACTGGATTTGTAGAATAAATGGCAGTTGCATCGCCAACAGGAAGAAGAGTGTAGGAATAATAGAGAAAAGTATCTCCTAACGCTCCAGTAAGACAACGGAGAGAGGTTAACAGAATCGTTCTTCTTTCGTAATTGAACTTTACGTTTTTGAAAACGACCAGAGGTGAAATAATAATTATTCGGACTACTTGAGATAAGCCCATAACGTCCATAAATATCCTGTCTTTGGTAAACTGAACTAATACACCAGTGAGGGCGAATAAAAAACCAGTAAAAACAATCAAGCCAAAACCATAATATATTCGTCCACGGTCCATTTGGTTGACACCCTGAAAAATAAAACATAAAATCATAACGTTATCTTTCAACGTCAGTTCACTCTTTGGTTAAGGTTTTCTTTAATGAATTCAGTGAAAAACATGATAGGACTGGATAGAGAACATTTTGTTATTTCTAATAAATATGAAATATTATAATCTGAGCAGACTCACATGGAGATTTACTAAATTATTTGACTTTAAAAGAAACTGATTATATATACACACATACATACTTTGATTATCACAGCTATACATACTAATATTCCAAACTTTCAACACAGAAATATTTCCTTTTCAGACTTCTTGTACATTTATTTATTCTTTATCTTCCGTTCATTAATATTATGAACAAATTGAATACCTCACGTTTTAAAACTTCTTAAAAAACTATAACGTAAAACTAAAAAATTATGTAATAAAATTATTTCGACATATATATATACAACTTCTCTGAACATAAACATTTAAATCATTACGTTATTACAAAATATGAAAAAAACTGAATATCATATAGTTATTAATATTTCCTAAATAAAATTCCAATTTTCTTTATTTCTGTTTACCTTCAGCACATTGTAAAGCCATACTGGTTATTTTAGTGATAAGAATAGTAAACAATAACTAGAATAACCACATAACATGTAGAGTTACACTGTATATCCTACTCGAGTAAAAAATAAAAGACAGAACACAAATTAGACGTGAGAAATAGGAAAGCGTATAATCTACAAAGGAGAAACAAACACAATTCAATGAGACATATTTACTGAACAACAAAGATCACTCCTCTCTAGAAACTGGAATATCGATTATATATAACTTAGACTAAAGGGGATAGCTACTATTCAATAAGACACATTTACTGAACAACAAAGATCACTCTTCTCTAGAAACTGGAATATCGATTATATATAACTTAGACTAAAGGGGATAGCTACAATTCAATAAGACACATTTAATGAACAACAAAGATCACTTTTCTCTAGAAACTGGAATATCGATTATATATAACTTAGACTAAAGGGGATAGCTACTATTCAATGAGAAACATTTACTGAACAACAAAGACCACTTCTATCTAAAAAGTGGAATATCGATTATATATATAACTTAGACTAAAGGGGATAGCTACTATTCAATAAGACACATTTGCTGAACAACAAAGATCACTCTTCTCTAGAAACTGGAATATCGATTATATATAACTTAGACTAAAGGGGTTAGCTACTATTCAATAACACACATTTACTGAACAACAAAGACCACTTCTATTTAGAAAGTGGAATATCGATTATAATACACATTTGCTGACCAACAAAGATCACTCCTCTCTAGAAACAGGAATGTCGATTATATATAAATTAGACTAAAGGGGATAGCTACTATTCAATAAGACACATTTACTGAACAACAAAGATCACTCCTCTCTAGAAACTGTATGGAGATTCATCAACGTACACCTCAAGACTGGGAGGAATAATTCTCTGATGTTTATAGAAACAGAATAGATAATGGAACAGAGTGTGTGTGTGTTTAAAATTGCAATGGTTTTTATTACAGTACTTGTTGCATTCAGTTGCTGCCTCTCGCGACTCGGATACGAGCATAGAACTAGGTTGCTACTCTTGCTAAAGACGTTTGCTTCAACATTGTTTTCACTGCTTTATTTTGAATTTCGAAACTTTCTTATTTTCCTCTTTTGTTTAATATCTCAATACCTAAAAACTTTGCGGTTGTTGATGTTGTTGGAAATTTACTTCTCTTTAGTAGTTTTTTGTGTGTGTGTGTGTGGTTTTACTCTGTTGGGAGGTTACTCTTTGTGACTGTTTCTGTTGGTA